AGCCTTATATGTCCAAAAATTACTTGCACAACTTAAACCCTGACTCAAAAACTTAAGAAAATGGAAGAGGAAGGAAAGAACGAAGCTAAAGAAACTTACTTTTAGTGTTCATAAGCTTAAAAATGCTCCCAAACCTTTAAATCCCCTTGTCCTAATAGAATTCTCAAGTCCTTCTTCGTTCTTTCTTTGTTTCTCTTTTGTTTTTCACCTAGATTCATGACCTCTTAAGTCAATTTTTTGACTAGGCGTTGCGATACACATAGTGGTCTATTGTGCCATGGTGCATGATGCTCACACTATGGTATCTGACATAGATTCACACTTCCTTATTTTTCTCCCATTTTGAGGTTCATATGACCCAACTCTCCTTTGGATCCAATTATAAGGCTACAAATCACAACCCAACAACTTTGTCATTAGTGCTTTCTACTCACCCACACACCATTTACCCCATTAATTCACTTAATTACCCTTATTTAAATTAATTAAGGGTTAATTTTCATGATGTTACAAGAGAAATGCTCATATTTAGTGTTCAATCTTGTCTTGGAGAAAATTACCTCAAATAGAAGGATGCCTATGAGTAATAAACAGGGTGAGTATTTTGGTCCAAATACATGTGAATAACATAAAAGTAACGGGTGTAGTGATGAAAATAAAATCATAACTATAGAAAAAAGGTTTGTGCTTTATCACTATTGGTTTTAAAAGAGGTTTATATAAGTTTTAAAAATAGAATAGAAGTATTTATGTAATTAAGGTGAAATAGAGGAGATTGGTGTATTTTATTTTTATTTTTAAATAAAATAGTTAAATATTACTTAAAAAAAGAGGGAATCTTTTATGAATTCACTTTTTGAAATTTATCACTAAATATTACTGCATCCTTATATTATGCATCGACAATAAATGTTATATACAATATAAAACATTATTATCCCTCATTATAAAATCAAATGAAGCCATTGAATTTATCTCACCGGGGAGAATGCATCACGAGTAAAACCGATAATAGTGTGTGTCTCTCCATTTTGAGATATAAGGTACTTCTTTAGGATTATTAAATGCTTTTCCCCACTCAAAACGCCTCTCATTAAAATTAGAATCATATAACATAAGGGAGACAAATTAGAGATTTCATTAGGAAGGGGGTCAATTGTCAAGGTAAGGTTAAATATGAAAAGAAATTATATTTCACTATAAATTTAACTAATTCAATTAACTTTATGCTATGTTTGGATGCATGTGAATTTGGATTTGAGCCAAACTCATTGTTTCAGTAATTAAAAATATGTTGATTTGGATTTGAGTCTCCTACCTTAATCCTTTTGTAATTTTGAATCTATTCTAAACCCTTATTACTTGGTGTCAACTGAGATAAGAGGGCTAGAGCATATTAAGAATAGATAGTTGGCTGTGACCTCGGATCGAACCATTAGTGGTGACTAGGAACGCATGGTAGGAGTTGATTGGGACTGCACGCCAGGTGCTGACCGAGACTTGACCATCATCGTAGTTCAGGTCTGGTCGATGATCACCATCTTCGATTCGTCCGCCTTTGTCATTTGTCACCAAACACTATTGTTAACAAGGAATGGTCTAGTTCATCATCCAGGACCAATCCGCAACCCTCAGACTATTATAATCATCTCGTGCTAATTCATAAGCATTGTTTAGGATTGCACTTTTGATGTTGTCTAAGATTGGGGTACCACTATTGATTGGGACTGGACCACTAACATCTGGGCTTGAATAGCTAAAGTTGAACAAGACCGGGTTGCCACCCTTAATTTGGGCTGGACCACTAATTTTTATTAGGATTAGACCATTGATATAAATATAAAATTTAAATTTTGAAATTTTATTTGAGATTCAAATAAAGAATTTTAATATTATAATTTAAAATTTTTTGTACAATCCAAACAAAGAATTTAAAATTTATGAATTTAAAGTGTGAGATTTTAAATTTAAATTTTCAACCCAAATTTACCGATTCAAACTCAACCTTAACTAATTTTATCCCAACGCGTGAAGTTATGTATTTGTGTCTTGTTTGTACAATTGAGATCAAAGCTAGTGGTCGGGGTGGAACTAAAAGGGGCAGTTTATTAAACAAAGGGAGGGTGAAGGTCAAGTCAATGTAATGTAATGTAATAGTGCAACGAAATATATAGAGTTTATTTATGTTTAGTTAATTGTATACTCCGTCTGTAATTCATAAAACATTCTTTTTTTCTTTAAATATTTTCAAGTTTCATAACAGTTGTTCTGAAGAAAACAATGATTGTTAATGTCCTTTGTCCCAAAATACCTCTCAATAATTATATGCAAGTTACATAAGAATTAGTGGTAATTGAAGAGTATTTTTTCAAGTTAATTTTTTTAAAAAATTATGGTTCCTAACAATATATAATAAGATTAATCGATCTTTGCAATTTGATCAAAAACATCTTATGAATTAAAAGGAGTGAGCATTTATTTATAAATTATAAAATACTCCTGCCAGTTTTATGAGGAGGACTTTTTTTTTTGGCTCTATTTATAACTCATTTCACTAATCTTTTTATTACAAGTTTATTATTTTATCCTTCATTAAATATTGATATAAAAAATTGTGTTATTAAAGTATATTTATTTAATAGAGATAAATTTAAAATTTATTATTTTTTATTATGGTTAATAAATTTTAAGATTTTACTTAATTAGGACAAAACATATAAAAAGAATAAGAGGAGAATGATTAAAATAGAAGGGAAGGAAGCAAAAGCAAGTGGGGAGAGACGCGCGAATACTCATGGTGGGTGTACCAGAAAAAATAAAATAGTACCAAAAAGGCGAAAACCTGTGGGTTCTGGGGGTTTGGTTTACACGGTCAAATGACTTGAATTAGTTTATTATGAAATTTTGACTTGCAATGCTGACATGCACAGTTGCATAAAATAAATATATTACAGATGTTCTAAATTATTCGTGAGGCTACAAATTGGCCCGTGCAAGGCCTGGTGATATCTCATTTAAGTAAAATTATAACAGAAATATAAATTTAATTTAAAAACTATCTCCATTTATTTATTAAAATATAATTATAATTTAATTTTAATAATTTATATTTTAAATTATTAAAATTAAATTAATCTACATCAATAAATTATCATATATAAAACATAAAAAATTTAAAATACAAAAACTCATTTTTGATGTTTTTATTTTATTGATATTAATTTTTTATTTTAATTTCTTTAAATTAAATCTTATAATTTTTATGAACCAAATTTTTTATAATATATATTTAAATAGCTCAATTTAAAATAAAAATTAACAAGTTTAATAAATTTATATTTAACTTAACTTTATAAATTAATTGATATAATTTTATAAATTAAAAATATAAAAATAATAAATTTAAATTTAAACTAACTAATTTAATTATATTTATATTTAATTTTAATTATGAGTGAGTTGGTATAATTTTATAAATTAAAAATATTAAAATATTAAAACATTAAATTCAGAAAATTAACTAAAAGGTTTAACAACTATCATTTTAAGATTTTTGAGATAGTAGGTCATGGAATAAATAAATAAAATAATGCAAAAGAAAGCGTGGACTTGGAAGTCAACAAGTCTGGTTTAAAAGAGCGGAAGTAACGTGTCACGGCACCCTAGCAGCAGTAACTACCAACCTTGATGACGGAATATATCATTTAATGGAGCCCGAAAAAATTATTTGTTTATTTTTCTTTGAACATATAAGCAGGTGGCAAAATTATATACTCATTATATTTAAAAATATAAAATATTTTTAAATTTTTTAAAGTTTAATTATTATTTTTTTAAAAGTGTCCCTATTAATAATAATTTTATATTTATTATAGGGTATTTAATGAGAATAAATATAAAAAGATAGAGTTAATTTAAAAGTAGGTAATTACTTTATTAAAAGATAAAATTTAATTAAAAATATTTTATATTTTTAAATGAAGAGAGTATGTTAGAGGCTTGCTTTGCTATTTTTCTCTCTGTGACATTTATTTTAAAAAAAATTCATAGAAATATCAATTATACAATAATTGATAATAAATTTCTTAAATTTGACCTATTACTAAAAGGTCACTTAAAAAACTGGTGAAAAAAATTTTAGTTGTAAATTTTTAAATTTGACTTATAAGTATCATGGGGACTTCTAAAAAAACCTCATAACGGGGAAACAATTCACAAGTCTTTCAAATGACACTTTTGAATAAAATTTAAAAAAATTTAAAACTTATTTCCTGTGTTTTGTGCAAGTTTTCCAGCGGCCTATTAATGATAAATCAAATATAAGGAATTTATTAGTAATTTTTTTTACTTGGGACCTATTTATAATTCATGCTTATTTATTTTTATAAAAACAAAAAAAATATCGTTCCGCATGTGAATTATATACTAATCATAAGCAAATTTGCGAAGGGACCGAGCAAAGTGGCCTGCAGGGCCGTGGGCCTTCGGGAGAAGTAGAAAAGAAGTTGGCGGGTGACTTCCTTCTTTCTCTTTCACTGACTCTCTTGTACCTTCCCAGAAATTCATTCTCATTTTCACGGCAACTGCGAGCCCCGTCACTTCAAGCTGCAAATGCTGTCACTAAAAATGAGATTAAAATTTAAAATTATATCACTAACACTAAATGAGGGACAACCTGTACAGTGTACAATAACAATTTCTCAAAAACTTCAATAAATAAATTAGTCATAAATATAGTATATCAAGGGCTAAATTCAACTTGCAGGAATTATATCAACTTAATCCAATATTACTGGGATATTAAATTATGATAACTTGTGCTTTTCTTGCAAGTCAAGGTCCTGTTTATATTCTATTTATAGCTATGTAACCGGCAATTTAACTTTAGCTTTTTTTCGGGCCATCAAAATAACTTTTTTTTTTTTTGCTGCCACCGGTAACTTTTCATGCTCTATAAATGCCTTCGGTTGCCCAACTGAAAATCACATCACAAACATAACGCAGTCCATCGCCCAATAACAACTATGGCAGTGGAATTGGCGGGCTTTCCAACGGCAGCCGCATGGCTCGCAACCTTCGCCGTCCTCCTCCTCTTCGGCCGCCACCTCCGCCGCCGCCGATACAACCTGCCACCCGGCCCAAGGCCCTGGCCCGTCATCGGCAACCTCAACCTCATAGGCCACCTCCCTCACCGCTCCATCCACGCCCTCTCTGAAAAATACGGCCCCATCATGCACGTCTGGTTTGGATCCAACCCAGTTGTTGTCGGCTCCTCCGTTGAGTTGGCCAGAGAGTTCCTCAAAACCCACGACGCTACCCTGGCCGGCCGCCCCAAGTTCGCCGCCGGCAAGTACACCACCTACAACTACTCCGACATCACTTGGTCCCAGTACGGCCCGTACTGGCGACAAGCTCGCAAAATGTGCCTGACGGAACTGTTCAGCGCTAAACGCCTAGAATCCTACGAGTACATCAGAAGAGAAGAGTTGAAAGCTCTTCTGAAGGAATTACACGATTCGGCGAGCAAGACCATAGTGCTGAAAGATCACCTCACAACTCTGAGCCTGAACGTTATAAGTAGGATGGTACTGGGGAAGAAGTACACGGAGAAGAGCGATGACGCGATCGTGTCGCCGGAGGAGTTCAAGAAGATGCTGGACGAGCTGTTCCTGTTGAACGGAGTGTTTAACATCGGAGACTTCATCCCGTGGATCGATTTTCTGGATCTGCAGGGTTACATAAAGAGGATGAAGGCGTTGAGCAAGAAGTTCGATAGATTCATGGAACACGTTTTGGATGAACATAACGAAAGAAGAAGAGGGGTTTCAGATTATGTCCCTAAAGATATGGTGGACGTGCTTCTTCAACTTGCAGATGATCCCACTCTCGAGGTCAAGCTCGAGAGGCATGGAGTCAAAGCCTTTTCTCAGGTAATTTTTTTTTTCATTTAAATTATCAAATAAGAATATTCATATTTTTTTAAAATTTATATTTTTTTGATAATTTTGTAAATTATGCGCATGACTTTAAAGAGCAATTCTTGAGACAGGTAGCCACTTGTTGGTAATGTGCTAATTTCTTTTTCTTATTTTTGATTCAAAAACCAATGACTGAGATGTGATGGGATTACCAATTCACCTGACTTCTTTCTTGATAAGTATCATATATAAAAAATTATTTTCTATGGTTTAAATTAAAATAAATGCCTTTTTTTAATTTTTAATAAAAATATTAAATACTTTCTTTTATGTTTGAGTTTGACATATATTGTTGCATCTATGTCAGTGATCAAGTAGTATTTATTTGAAGAATACCGAGACAATTTTAGGAATGTATTGATTTTATAAAATATTATATTATTTAATATTTTATTGAACCAGCAAACGAATGATATTGTTATGACATTTTTCTGTAAGGCACTAAGCATATAAATATGTGTGTGTATGGAGTGGTATTTCTTTCATTATTGATTGTGCATGTGTATGTTTGATTTTGAGCTTCTTAAAAAATTTATTTATAATAAATTTATTTGTTAAAAATTAGTTACTTTTACATAATTTATATTTAGATGATTTTTTAAATATCAGTTTAAGAAAGTTATCTTTTTTAAATTAATGGAATGTTATTGAAAAATTGAAAACTAACTTTTAGAACGTAGTTTAAATAAGCTTGCAGGTAGCACATGTAATTTCAACCGTACTGCAAATTTAATAAATAAAAAATTTAAAATAAATCACGTGAATCTTCGCAAAAGGGCAGCATCTTGACCAATTATATTGGTGACGAACCTGATTTGTGTGGAATGTCAGGACTTAATAGCCGGAGGAACAGAGAGCTCGGCAGTAACAGTAGAATGGGCAATCTCAGAGCTTCTGAGAAAGCCGGAGATATTCGAGAAGGCGACGGAGGAGCTGGACAGAGTGATCGGAAGAGATCGATGGGTTGAAGAGAAAGACGTCCCCAACTTACCCTACATCAACGCCATAGCCAAAGAAACCATGAGGCTCCACCCTGTGGCTCCCATGCTGGTGCCGAGAATGGCCAGAGACGACGTCAAGATTGCCGGCTACGACATCCCCAAAGGAACTCAGGTGCTGGTGAACGTCTGGACCATCGGAAGAGACCCGACGATATGGGAAAATCCGAACGAGTTCGAACCAGAGAGGTTCTTGAGTAAGAACATCGACGTGAAGGGGCATGACTTCGAGCTTTTGCCGTTCGGAGCAGGAAGAAGAATGTGCCCGGGATATCCTCTGGGGTTGAAGGTGATTCAGGCGAGCTTGGCGAATCTGTTGCATGGGTTTCATTGGAGACTGAAGGACGGGATGAAGAAGGAGGATGTAAGTATGGAGGAGATCTTCGGGCTCTCTACTCCCAAGAAACTGCCACTTGAAGCTGTGGTTGAGCCCAGACTTGCTCCTCATCTTTACTAATGGGGGCCTCCATTTCCAGCTATCTACGATCTCAAGTTTAGGTTATATATCGTCTCTAGTAAGATTAAGAGTTTGAGGGAGATAGAGTATTGTAACCTAATAAATATATGCTGATGGGTATATTGATGTTTCTGGGTTTGCTTAAATTTTCTCCCACATGAAATTAAATATTGAGAATGTTGGGGCTTTTACAGTTCACTGTTTTACATTGTGTGAGGTTGCTAGCTTTCAAATTAATGTTTCAGCTTTGCCCCTTTTTACTGATGTGGGGAAGAGCAGAGATGAGACGTTGGAATTTAAAGATAAACCAATGGCTCAGACGCACGATCATAGGCCACCCCGCCGACACGTGGCGTACGACAAGGCTTGGCGCCCCGCCATGAGCATGGGATTTGGATGTGGTGAGGGTGACCTACAAATTTGCCCATTCGATAAGTGTTTATGGCACAATAGCAGCCGTCGAATTAATTAAATGATTGTTAGCGGTTCTGTTACACGATGTACTCAAAATAAGATTATTGATTGTTCTGAATTTTTTGAAGGGGCCAGGGTCATGTATGTGAAGGATGTTCTAATTGCTCGTGAAAGTTGGTCTGATTTTTTGATTTTTTTGGGACAAATTTCAAGCGTTAGATAAAATTTAATAGTTATATAATTAAGACATTAATTAAGTGAATGAGTGAATTATACGGACTCAAAACACGCCAACACCTATAATTAATTTTGTGCATCTTTTATATTCGTTTTTATCCTAAATAGAAGATTTAGTTACTTAATTTATAAAGATTAAAAATTAATTAAAATAATTATTTTATTATTGTATAAATATATATATTACTTTATTTTATTATTAAAATAAAGCTCTTTTAATCAAGGTATTAAATGAGGTAAATTAAAGAAAGTGAAAAATAATGAAAATAATGAAGGTACTTAATAATATGATAAACATATTAAAGGAAGGAGGAAAATGAAATTGAAATTCCAAATTGAGGACCAACACAAATTTCTCAACCAAATATTTTATTTAGAACTAGAGGGAGTATGGCATTAAAAAAAAATTAGAGGGAGTATTTTTAATCATTGACTTACAAGAACGTCGGTTCACGTGAAAACACACCCTACTAATTATACATTAATTATTTGGGTTGGATCCATCTCTAATTTCACGTAATATAAAAATAAGTCTGATGGTGAATGTAACGCATAAATTATAATATTATTCATATAATGTGGAATTATTGAAATGATTAGGCTAGATAGAGTGTAGTGGAATTTTTCGTTTTGGCCGACAAAAAATTGTATGTTCCGTGCTTACACATTCACGGTTCACCAAATTCTGAAATAGGTCCCCTGTCCTTCAAACCATTTTATATCACTCCCTACATTTTTTATGTCAACCACTTTTTCTAAAAAATAAAACTCCAGAGACCAATTTTAAAATCTAATATTAGATAGTATAGCGACTAAAATTTTAATTCTTTTCAAAAATTTATTTAATTACTAAACTAGAGAGTGAAACGAAGGAGTCACGTGAAGGATCATAAAATATCATGATTTATAAATTAAATTATGGGCGTTACTCTCGTACATCGTTTTTTTTTTGTTTAATTTGGTGTACGCTGGAGACGAGAAGATCGTGTTCTAACGTAACCACAGTTTACAAGTCAAATTGATTTTAAATGTTGGTAGCTATGATTAAGCCACGAGAGGTTTAGGTAATGAAGTTTTAAGTTAGATTTATTGGTCCCTGATGGCCTTGTAGTCCAATGGTACTACTAGGCATCTAGTAAGTGCATGCATTCTTTTCTTTTTAGACAAGGATGGTAAAAAATAATTAAATTTATCAGTCAAGATGTTAGGATTAAATAAAAAATAATTAATGAGAGTTGAGTGGTAAAAGGAACTAGTTGTCATCCTAGAAACGTAATAAATTAAAATTCAAATATTCACAAAAAAAATTATTTACATTTAATATGCAATCATGCTTTAAATATATATATATATATATATGGAAATAAAATAAAAAAGACAAAGGCATATTAATGAGAGGTTAAGGCCGGTACGTACAAAGCTTTGTGAAGCACATGAAGTGAAAGAAAATAATGTAAAGTTGGTTTTGTGTTAGGAAAGAGGCCAACATCTTTCCTCTCCCATGCAAAAGCAGAAACAGAGTTAAGGTTATCTTCACAGACATCAAAATATAAAGTAAAAAACTATTCTAGATAACAAGCATGTGTTGGACAAATGGACACTGCAGATGAGGGCCATATTTTAACATTATTACATATATAGTAAAATCATATGTTAGTTGTAATAGTGCATTTTCAATATTTAATTTTAATTTCAATAATTTTATATACTATTCTACTTCTGTTGAGAATATATATATATATATAAAACGCACATTAAATTTTTAGGAAAATCCGAAAATGAGGCCAAAAACTTATTTTGTTTTCATTTGTGCATAATTATCTAGCAAATAAGATACCGACGCAACAACATATTTCTCACTTTCTTGTTGGCTTCATAATAAGCTTGCTGAAGTTCTAATTTTTTGTGGATGCTCTTAGAATATCTAATTTAATTAACTTAACTTAAATTAATATAATTAACTCATAATTTGTCTGATCATAACCACTGGAATTAATTTGGAAAATGTACCTAAAACCCCGGCCCATGGATAAATAAATATGATTGAATTGATGATTCATCAATATATGGGGAAAAGAGGGGGAAAGAAAGAGAAATTATGAGTTACTTCCCTATTTTTATAGGTTTTTTAAAACCTTTTCTTGTTGTTAAATATAAGAGGTTGTTAGTATATTTTTTAATCAATGAATAATGATACCTTTATTAAATATATTTTTTGATAAATGAACAATTATACCTTTATTAAATGAAAAAAATATTTATTTTTTATTTATAATAATTAAGAATAAAATTAAAATGTTACTATACTTTTAATTAAATAATCAATTTTTATCAATTTATGTGATTTAATTAAAAATATTTTATTTATAGGGATGATGAGAGTATGCAAGTCAAGGTGGCTTTGCAGAGATTCCATGCAATAACAAATCTTGGCATTTAATGACTTCCTCTACTCATTACTGTGAATAGATTTAGGCCATCTTGGTTTTTAATGACTTCAGGCACCTTTAACTATGATGAGATTTCATTTTTTTTTTAAAATTGATTTTAACAGTTCAAATTTAGGGATAAAACTAAAATATTTATTTTTTATTTACAATAATTAAAAATAAAACTAAAATATTATTATGCTTTTAAGTAGATAACTAATTTTTATTAATTTACATAATTTAATTAAAAATATTTTATATACAAGAACGGAAAGAGTATGTAAGTCAAGGTGGTTTTACAGAGATTCCATGCAATAACAAATCTTGGCTTTAAATGACTTCCTCTACTCATTACAGTGAATAGATTTTGGCCATCTTGGTTTTTAATGACTTCTGGCACCTAGGGGTGTTCATAGATTTGGTTTGATTTTGGGCAAAAACCAGACCGAACCGAACCAATCGATTTGAATATTAGTGAAACTTGATCGATTTCAACTGAAATTGATTTGGTTCGGTTTTTGTTTCGGTTTGATTTGGTTTGGTTAAAATTTGAATCAAACTTTAATGAATTTATTTTTTTTCTCTTTTCCTGTCTTTGTAATAGTTTGACTTTTTTATTTTGAATTGATTTATGCATTATTAGTTATAGAAGGTTCTTACTTATCTTGTGCTTTATTTCAACCACAATCATAATATATTTATGAGCTGTTGCCGTTTGGATCAGGGGGAAGAATGTGTCCAGGTTATCCTTTAGGGATAAAGGTGATTCAGGCGAGCTTGGCGAATCTGTTGCATGGGTTTCATTGGAGGCTAAAGAGTGGCGTGAAGAAGGAGGAGTTGAACATGGAAGAGATTTTCGGGCTCTCTACACCAAAGAAACATCCTCTTGAAGTTGTGGCTGAGCCTAGACTTGCTTCTCATCTTTATATTCTCTGATTCTCTCTCAAGTACCCGTATCAGTGCACTTTACCTATGTTGCGGGCTGCGATCTGAAGTTTTCATGGATCTTTTATAATTCATCAGATTAAGGGTTTGATGGATGTTGTGCTGTATTATAGCTTATAAAATATGCTACAGTATGCTGCTGTGCTTATTGTTTTTCCGCGTTCGAATAAATGTTCTCCCTTGAAGTGAGGGTAATGATTTGTTACTATCACACTATTGGTACTGATGATTAAGTTCAAGCTCGTAGTGTAAGATATATGAATTAATATTAATACGGTGTTTATGCTCTATTTCTTGTGTTGGGCTGGTCAAACATCTTTTATCTCTCTCTCTTCTTTATGTATAGATGCGTGCTTTCTTGAATTGTTTGATATATCTGGATGCTCCGGCTGGCACAATATGCCGTATAGATTGAACAAACTCCATGATAAAAGCAATCATCTTAACTATTTTTTAAAAAGTAATACTCCCTTCCTTCCAAATTATAAGACACTTTTAGGATTCAGCATTTTAAAATATAAGACACTTTGATAAAAATAAGGGTTCATTAATGATACTTTTTTAATATTATCCTTCTCATATATTATCTCTCTTTAATATTCTTTCATTAATGGAGTATTAAATGAAAGAAATTTTTAAAAATTTATATTTTTATCTTGAAAAAGTAAGGTTGTAAAGTGTATTTAATAAGTTTTATTAATATGTGAGATTTTATCTAAAAGTATCTTATAACTTAAGATAAAAAGAGTAATATAATTTTATTAAAATTCATGACAAATATTGTTAAGATTGATAGTGAATTTAATCGTTTTAAATATTTTACAATTTCCAAATGAAATTGTTTTAATTAAAAGAATCCAAGTCCTTATTTGTAGCCAAATTTTTCCTATATCTTCATCATTGGCCATTGATTCCTAATTAAATTTACAAGATTATTGATGGTCTATCAAGAAGCAATAAATGTTGGAACATGAAAGGATCAATCTTTTCCGCGTGATAGTTCTGTTTTTGGTGGAAAAGATTTATTATTGGAATACAATTCATATCTCCCCTTATCTGTAGGTACAAACTAAACAGATTAAACAAAAACCGACAGGCAGAATGACTCCAAAAACAGGACATCAAGTTGGACCCACATCAAAACTTTTACTTTATATAAAAATGATGAGTCTA